AACAAATAAAAAGATAAAACACTGGCCTGTAATTTACGTGAGAATAAATAGAATGGTTTTGAATAATATATGAGAGTAAAATCTACGTCACTTTACAGCCCCGCCCACCTTTGGGGAAACCAACGCTGTCATTTGAACGGCGATCAAGCCTGAAGCCACAGAGATCTACTGTTACTTTCCTTTGTTCTTAGAGGAAGTAACTCTGGATTTGTTTTAATGTTTGAGGTGCAATAAACCACACAGCAGCTTTTTGGCATGTTAAAACTATTATTTTCTGCCTCGCTCATGAGAGTAACAGCTGGAGAAGTTACAGCCTCGCCTACTGATTTTAATTTAACCATATATCGAGCCCGATCGTCGATTTCAAATGATTTAATGTAATAGTCTGCCACACAGATGTTTAAAAAAAATTGTAATCGGGCTCTTTGAAGATCCACAAATCCACGGTTTTCAAAAATTCTGATCTGTTGGCATAAACTTCAGAATGTGTATTGACCGCCATTCAAATGACAGCGTTGTTTTCCCCAAAAAGTGGGCGGGGCCGTAATTTTCGCCCGGAAGTGACGTAGGTGTTACTCTCATCTACACCGTGGCTGTTTAAGAAACGTTTTCATCTCTGCTGACTGCTATCAACTCTCTTTATTTAGCCGTCATAAAATCAATTTAAACAGCGATCTATAATATTATTGATTATTTAAAGTCCCTCTCACAAACAGCATGTTCTCATGTTTCCTTTTTTAAAACATTTTACATTTATATATTTTTTCCGACAGACTATACGCTGATTTATTTAATGTTATTTCAACATTTAAAGGTGGGGTAGGTAAGTTTGAGAAACCGGCTCGAGATACACTTGTTGTTATATTCCATGGAATGCTCTTAACATCCCGATAGCAATGAATATCTGAAGAGCTTTGACAACAAATACATAAAAAAAATATCATCTGTGGAAGCTGTGGTGCTGTAAAAACTACAACCAATCATCTGAGCCGGCTAAAGTAACTGGATGGCCTACCTTCCTGTCAGCCTTCCATCTGTGCACAAACTGATCTCTGCCCTCATTGGTCATGTGCGCGTGTGTGTTGGAGGAGGGGCTCTGTAAGGAAGAGGCAGATTTTTTCCAGTTGTGTATTTTCAAATTCTAGTGCACTCGAGCTGGTTTCTGAAACTTACCCTCCTTTAATCTTTTTTTTTCTTTTTTTCTGACATACTATAAAATCACTTTTCCCACATTTATATATTTTCCCCCTTTTATTTTAGCCATCATGAAGGTAAACACATGTTATCTGTAATATGGATTTATATACTTAGAGGAAATAAAAACCATTAATGTTTCCCTTTTTAAAGAAAAGTCACTTCTGGATGCGATGAAACTCCCTGTCAACATACTTTTGTTTTTTACTAATGTGTTATTGTTTTGAATCGTCATGAATTGTTAGGCTTCTACTTCTTAGAGTAGGAAGTAGAAGGTTAACACTTTCAGGTATATGACGAGTGTTCACGTCAATCACTCAAGACTCTTTTCTTTACAGGATTGAAATACAAAGAGAAGGACGCACAGATGTTTCAAAAAGCATCAGATCAGAACATTGAAAGTGATCAAAGGGCAGCAGCCTCATCTACGCCATGTCCACGGCAGAGAGGGAGCTCACAGCGATGGAAAGGTTGCTGCTTTAAATCAGAGTAGAATCTCTAAACTAACTAGATATGAAAACATGCCGAGGGAAGGTTTGTCTGCCCCCTGCTGGCCGGGAGACGCAGCTGCAGGGGCTGACTCTCAGATCTCTAATTTAATACAATAAATGTACCTGATAACTATTTATAAGGGACTTTGCTTATTAAGAAACATTCTAGAAGGAGACAGAAAGCTGTGTCTGTTTTCCCTGAGCAGGTAACGTTCAAAGACCGTGGGATAGAAAGTAAAATAAAGGTTCAAAAGTGCAGTTTATTGGTTTTAAAATAAGTGAAGTGTAACCAACAGTGCTTTGGTGGCCCTTCACTGTATCACGAGCTATTGAACATTTCCAAGAATAAAGTGTTTGTTTTCTTTTTATATTTTAAAATTACTTTCTTAAATTCCACATTTAGGTTTCCTGTAAATGTTATATTTATAATTGATTAGTATTTCTCTTCAGTTTTATAATTCATGTCTTGCTGAATTGAGTGATGTATTTCATATTTAACTTATTAACCTTAAAAGTGGGAATATTTAGAGATAAAATCTGAATATTACTATATTTACTGTAACAGAGTATTCCTACACTCTGGTACTTCTACTTTACTCAAGTACAAGATCTGAGTACTTCTACTTTTACTCAAGTACCACCTCTGTTTATAGCCTGTGAAATAAACTATTAGAAAACGAAGGCTAAAGCTAACGTTAGCAGATAGTGAGAATGTATGCTAGTTAGCTAGCTCAACGATTCCTTAAATATTGCGACAGAAACAATTTTCACCAGTGACGAGCCGTCAGTATCTAAACGCTCTCTGAGGGACTAAGATACTCTAAAAAATAATATTTAAAAACATTTTTTTTTTCATTAGTTTTACCAAAATAACTTGATTTAATTGTATTTAAAATAACATTTCCAAAGAAAGCCTTCGAATCTGCCTGTTCAGTTTATGTTAGAATGTGAAGGGTTAATGAAAGAAGCTCGTCTAGGAGCTGATTGGTGGTCCAGCTGTAGATTCACAGAGGGCCCGCTTTAGTAACTGAACGAGAGAGTAATGTCAGATGACAGTACAATTGACCAATCATGTATTCCCTCTAAATGGGCGGGCTTTATTGTCGCAGACTTTATGACAAGTTCCGCCCGCTGTGAGGTCTATGCATGAGTTATAACAACGGGTCAAGATAGGCGGAAGTAGCTGATTAGCATAAGTTCGTTCATGATGGCTCACTTCAGTGATAGTGATGACATCGTTGCGAAATTATTAACCGAGTCATTTTCAAGATTGAGTTCCAATGATAAACTGGAGGGGCAAAGGATCAGCTGCATGACCCGCCATCAAGTGCTTCATCCAGAAGGACAGGAGGACTTTGTGTTTCAGTGATTTAATCATCAAAGGTAGGCCTAAGTCATTTTCAATGTGGGCCGTCGTGCTGACTTCATTCATTTGTAATTGTTACTTGGCTGTGGGTGCCCTGTCATGATAGGTGTTTATATAAATGCTGTTGTTCTGTGTGGTAGAGGGTCGCTGTCATTGATGCGTTTTGCACCCTGGGCCGCTGTTTTGATATTCCGCTGAAGTATACGCTGAGATGTAATAACTCTTCTTTTTTCTTTTTTTTGAGAAAAGGGGGGTCAGAGGGCCTAGGTATAAAAGTCACGGCTCGCCACTGCTTTTCCCTGCCCGTCACGCTCTGCCGCTCCGACAGGGAGCTCTGCTCTGAATATCTGAACTGTTCTAACAGCTGTTCACCACCTGAGCTGTTCTAACAGCTGTTCACCACCTGAGCTGTTCTAACAGCTCTTCACCACCTGAGCTGTTCTAACAGCTGTTCACCACCTGAGCTGTTCTAACAGCTGTTCACCACCTGAGCTGTTCTAACAGCTGTTCACCACCTGAGCTGTTCTAACAGCTGTTCACCACCTGAACTGTTCTAACAGCTGTTCACCACCTGAACTGTTCTAACAGCTGTTCACCACCTGAGCTGTTCTAACAGCTGTTCACCACCTGAGCTGTTCTAACAGCTGTTCACCACCTGAGCTGTTCTAACAGCTGTTCACCACCTGAGCTGTTCTAACAGCTGTTCACCACCTGAACTGTTCTAACAGCTGTTCACCACCTGAACTGTTCTAACAGCTGTTCACCACCTGAACTGTTCTAACAGCTGTTCACCACCTGAGCTGTTCTAACAGCTGTTCACCACCTGAGCTGTTCACCACCTGAACTGTTCTAACAGCTGTTCACCACCTGAACTGTTCTAACAGCTGTTCACAGCGCTCCAGTCTGTGCCACAGTGACTCCG